CGGTTGGCTGGCGCGCTGTGCCGAATGCCCAGGGGGAGCTTTCGATGAAGCAGGAACCTTTCCACCGTGCCTGGGCTGTTTCAGGCGATCGCAAACATGGATCAAGGGGGTGTGGATTAGCGTTGTGGAAGTCGAATAATGGAGAGGACACATGCTGCCAAATAATTTCCAGATGTCTAAAACATGTTTCAAACATGGTGCAAATATGGAAGAAAATCTTCGACACGTTTTTAGGACATGTTTTACACATATTGAGCACATGTGCAATTCAATGATAGGAGTGTTAGAGTGTCCATTGTCATGGCATCCACAAGATTAGCGACGGGTCCCGTTTCCATGGGTAATCGCGTTTTTTTGCCGCCGAACGAGGCGGCAGCAGCCGCATTTTTGGGGAGGGCACCTGCCCCAATCCATGGATTTGGCAACCGCGCGCCAAATCCATGTGACCTCTTGGGCGACTCTTGGAGCCTCCCGGGGGCCTCTTGGGGCGGAAGGCTTGGATTTTCTGTTCGTGTTCCCTGTCTTGGGCTCCTTTTGCGGCCGTCTTGGGGCCCGGGGCCCCCTTGGGCTGTCTTGGGCGCCTCTAGAGCGGTCTTGGGCCGTCTTGGAGGCGTGTTGGGCCGTTTTGGGGCGGTCTTGGAGGTCTCTGGGGCCGTCTTCGAGCGTCGGTAAGCCGATAAGCGAGTAGGCCAAAAACCATTAGAAGACACCTAAGGCGAATCAATGATTTTCGCTTCTTGGGGCCTTCTTGGAAGGCCTCTTGGGGGCCTGTTGGGGCGTCTTGGATGCCTCTTGGGCCGTCTGGGGACAATTTTGAGCATCTTGGGCCGATCGTTCGGCGACTCGGGGCCCTCTTGGGCCGTCTTCGGGGCCTCCACTTGGCCTGTCTTGGGGCCCTCTTGGGGCCGACTAATTCACGCGCCACCACTCGGCAAAGTCCAGGGGGCACTCGACAAGCCCCAAGAGATATTGGAATTCGGGGTCTGAGCCCCTGATCGACTCCTCAGGGCTGCAGATTCAGGCTCCAGGGATTAGGCAAAGGACCTGAGGAGACGCCCACTCCGTGCCCAGAGGCACGGTGGTGTGTGTATACATATATGTAGAGAGCTGTGTCTATATATATATATATATATATTGACATACACATGTGCACACATACACATAGATACAGATATAAGATGGTGATCCCTTTCTCCCTGTTTTTATATATATATATATATATATATATATATATATAAAATCAAGTACAAACAAATAGCGTGTCCAGAGTTAAATGAGGTATTTTCTCGGGGCCCACGCTGCAAAATTGTCATGTGCACTTGTATTGCCTTTTTTGGCGGCTGTGTGCCCGCATGTACTGGGGGCCTCTGGTGACCTCCAGAGACACCCAGGGACCTCAGTTCTGGAGGCCGTCGTCGTCGTCGTCGTCGTCGTCGTCGTCGTCGTCGTCGTCGTTGTTCGTCGTCTGTCGTCTGTCGTCTGTCGTCCATCGTCCATCGTCGTCGTGATCGGTCGTCCTTCGTTGCCGTCGTCGTCGTGGTCGGTCGTCGTCCGCAGCCGCCGTCGTCGTGGCACGAGGCGACCTCGAGGGCTGTTAGCCCTCTGAGGCCGCGGCCGCTGTGAGCCATACTCGGGGGCCGCCGGGCAAAGTCCAGCGGTGGCCAGCCCCGAGCTCGGGCATGCGTAAGACCCAGAGCTCCGAAGATGTGAGTGTTGTCCATCCCGGCGTTTTCCTCTTTTTCGGCGTCTTGGGCGGCTCGTTGTCGGGCCCAGGGCCATGAAACATGGATACGTGCGGAAAACCTGCTCCTGGGGAAGAGTTGGGACCTCTAGGGCCGCGGATTGACAAGATCATATCGTCGGATGCTTGGGAAGAGAGACCCCTCGTTGGAGTGACCCTTGGCGCGCTCCCACTGGGGCTCCCTGATCGCTTGATGCTGTGTGACAGCAGCGTCTCGCGCGCGCACACCCGCGCCCCGCTAAAGGCGCGCCTTTTCTGTTCCACCCCAGCCGTGTTGGACCGCAAGCCCCCCCCCCCTGGGGCCGAAGACGCCCAATTTTAGTCGTCGCGTTTTTTCTGTCTGGCTCATGGCTCATGGGGGGCGGCATCGACCCTGAAGATCGTCCACTCCTCGCCGATCGGTGCCTGTGGGTGCCCCAACCTGCCCCGGGAACGTTTTGGGCTGTCCCCCAGTCGGGGGACTATCGCAGATACACCTGCGATGCGTCGAGCGTTCTAGGTCAGTGGTTCCGTTCTTTGGGGATACCCCCTCTGAAAGGTTCAATTCAGCCTCGGCGATGGTATATCCGTGGTCGTATACCGTCCTGAACCTGCCTACGCAGTCCCGCTGAAGCCCGATCACTCCCGTTCAATCCAGTAACATCCAGCTTAACCTTTGGCTCGATCTGAGCTAGTTCGACTGGATGTCCCCTTAATTGTGCTTCCTAGTCCTTACGCAGTCGTTCTTGCGAAGACCTCTCACAACTCGCCTCTTAACCCTTCTGGGCCAGTCCCCCCCAGTTCCGCCGGCAAGATTTATCCAGCTGCTTGCGGCAAGTCCCGTCACCGTGCCAGTTCAGCATGTTGGGTGGCGACTGATCGAGGGTGCACGGGAGGCCGCCAAGTGAGATGCTGCGGGCCTCTATCCATTCTGTGGGGCTCTCTTGGTCGTCTTGGGGCTCTCTTGGGGCATTGAGGGCCGTCTGAGCGCCATCATGGGCCGACTTGGGCTTGGGCCGGTCTTGGGCCATCCTGCCACCCGTTCTGCCAGCAAGATTCATATCTATGTCCGCTGCGTCCTGGACTCTGAGACGGGGCGCTAAAAGGCCCAGGCGCAGGGCACGTGGATAAGCATCGAGCCTCGAAGGGCTAATTAGATGTTTGTCCATATTCACTGCGCCACTGGATTCTGGGGCAGGGAACCCGAAACTCCAGGACGAAGTGGACATTGATACAAATCTGGCCCGAAACCTCGGTGCCCCCCACCCCTGCGCGCCTGGCTGCTGCTGCCCCCCCGGCTGCTCATCGTCGAACTCTTCGACGTCTGAGCGTCCCTTCTTCCTCTCGGCCGTCCCCTTCCCCCGGTCCCCCCTCTTTGCCCGCCGGCCAATTCGCTAGTTAGTGCCCATCTCTAGCTTCTCGCTGGAGCGGAGTTCGCCGCCTCGCCGCTGACGGAAAGAGTTCGGTGCCCTCAGTCTCATGCGCTCCCTTCCGGGCTGTGCACCGCGGCGGCCGCCGCGCCTTCCCCAGGGGCTATGCGGGCACGCCCTCGGCGGCGACAGGCCGGGTCGGGCCCTACCCAGCCCGAAATATGACGGCTCGACTCTTGGGCGGTCGAGACGTCTCGTCCCGACATTCGAACCCTACCCTTGCCGATCAACGCTTCTGGCAGCTCGATGGGCGGCGGGGGTAGGGTTGGGAATCCGTCGAACACGTGGCGGACACCGAATCCTACCCCCGCCGCCCTCTCGATTCAGGAGGCTCGATGGTTGGAGGGGGGTAGGGTTCGGATGTCGTCACCTAAGGACCTAGATTCCCCACCCGACAAGTTCCATGAGTTCCAGGCGCTGCTTTTTTTTCGCGCCTGCGGGCCCCACGGCCATCAGAGATCGGCGCGGTTCGGAAAATGCAGCGGAGAGATGGGGTCCAGGGCTCTGGACGCAACTGTTCGAGATGCTGCACGTTTCGTAGGGTTGGATCTCAGCGCTGTGAGACGTAGGAAAAAATCAGGAGGGGAACCAACACACCGACAGAATTAATCGCCAATCCCCCCCAAAACATGGGAGAATATGGGAAGTGGAGGGGAAGACGACCATCGAAAAAATATGAGAAAAGATAGGGGGTCTTGGGATTTGTGTGTGTGTGTTTATTTGTGTGCCTCTGTGCCCCTTCAAGAAGGGTCCCCGGCGGGCCTCGCGCACCCTGCCGCCGGTCCCCAAAGGGTCCCCCCGTGCTCCCTCGGTGTCTCGCCTCGCTCGAGCGACGGCTGTCGGCGGCATGCCGCGGTCTCTCCAGGGCCCCAAGGGGCCCAGTGCCCTCTGTCGAGGCGCGCCAGGGAGAGGGGTGCAGCGCGGATCCAAGAAACCCGTGCGGAGCGCCAAAAGAGTATGTTTATGCGTTGTGGCTCGTCTTTTAGGATCGCTTGGAGCAGAGTGTTTGCTTGTGTGCAGAAGTCAAGTCCCGACCCTCTCCCCAGGGCCCCAGGGCTGCCTGCTCATCCCGAGCTGTTATCAGTGGAAGCCGAACTCATCGGCCGAAGGCTTCCGTGTGTTCTGTTTTCCGTTCGATGCGTTAGAGGTCCGAGCTTCATCGCGGATGCGGATGCCCCCGCGCGGCGCCAGCTTGCCACCGTCTCACAGGAGGGAAACAAACATCAATGGCATGCCTCCGTTGCGAGCCCGGCAGTGTGATCCTCCCCCGTTGTTGACCGAAGGCCTGGTGTTCCTTCATCCGCCTACAGTGCCGTTTTTAATACATTCTCCGCGTGCAGACCATGTATTTAAAATACAGGGTTGATTAATAGATACAAGGATGGCTTTATGCATTATTTTCTTCATAAATTAAGCATGTATTAAGCAACTGCCCTGTACACTGATTGGTTCGCCACGTCGGCTAACGCCTCGGGCGATCCAGACTGGCGCCTCGGGCGATCCCCCCGCTGGGCCCCAGCGGGGGACATTCACGTTGCGCGCAGGCCCTTGCCCGCCTCGACGGCTTTGCACCCGATCTGCTCCCCGGATGCACTCGGTGGGCTCAGTAGCACGTGCAGGCTTGGTTCTGAGCAGAGAGCAGAAAAGGTGCTCTGCCTGAGCGCAGGAGGAGGAGGAGGAGGAGGAGGAGGAGGAGGAGGAGGAGGAGGAGGAGGAGCAGGAGGAGGAGGAGGAGGAGGAGGAGGAGGAGGAGGAGGAAGTGGCAGCGAGGGTTGGCGCTGGTCAGCGAGGCGCGGGATGTGGAGCTGGAGCCCAGAGTCATCCGGTGCGTGGGAGACGAAGCTGGAGCCATGCCCTGCGAGGCCATGTGGCGGCGGGGGCCCGACGCCATCGACCGCAATGCGACACTCCCAGGCGATCGTGACGTGTGCAGCGGCAGCATGGGCCGTGAGCCGGAGCTCCGGGGGCGCGCGCGCCGCTGGCATTCGGCTGCGGCTCGCGCGCACGGGAGCGCGTGGGGGCGTGCCCCCCGCAGGAGCTGCAAGGAGCGAGAGCAGGAGCAGGAGCAAGAAGAGGGGGCGGAGGAGGAGGCGGAGGCGGAGAACTCCGACCCGTCGAGGGCCTATTCAGCAGCAGCCCTGGCTGCGAGCCGGGGCATGCGTCTCCAGCCCCTGGACGTGCGGATGTTAGCGAGGGGGCGTTCGGGTTGACGGGGCTGCGGGGCCCGAGCGCCAATGGGAAGGCCCGCCGCAGGCGTCGATCTCTCCTTCCAGGGAGAAACAGCCCGCCGCAGGCGCTGACTTTTCTGCTAACAATGCCGGTGGGTCGCAAGGCGGGGCGTCGGCGGGTCGCGAGGCTCGAAAGCCAGTGTGAAGAGGAGCCCTCTGGCGCTGGCTTCTTTTTTTTTTGGGGGGGGGGTGTTTTGTTTTTTCAACGCAGGTCGTCCGCCGCCGGCGTCGACTTTTCCAACGCAGCGTCGGTCGGTGCGTCGCGCGCGTGCGTCGCGGTCGCGGTCTGAGGCTGCGTTGCGGGAGCATCGCGGGTGGGGGGCGTCGCAGAAGGATCGCGGGCGGGCCGCCGCAGAGCCGCGGCAATGTTGCGGGGCGGGCCGCGGAGGCGACGGCGGCGATGATATCAGCCGCGCAGCACGATAGTGTGCACGAGTCCCGTTCTAATGCGCATGTGTCCCACGTAGCCAGTCTTCTTGCCGATGCGCCGTCCCGGCGCGGCTCTTCGTATGTGAGCCAAGTAAAACAACAATCAGCAATGCGGGGCCCCACTTGCGTCGCCCTGGCGTGCTGATGGAGGGGCAGGGCCAGCCCCCTCGCACGGGTGCGAGGAACACGCCCGGAAAAAAATGCAGCAGAAACCAGATGAGAGTACACCTCTGTTGAGCAAAACGCTGGATCGCTCGAGATGTGCGAGGTCGACTGCTGCAAGAGCAGGCGGACCGACGAAGCATACATGGGCGAAAGAGAGAGCGGGAGACCCAGACCCGCGACGTGATCTGTGTGTACCCCCGGAGGTCCCACTCAGGCGCCGATGTGTGGCCGGCGCCTGTGCCGGACCAGCTTGTGCAGGGGGGATTGGTGTCTTCGTGTCATCAGGGGGTGACACTTTTGCGCGCAAGCCCCGCTCCGCGCTCTTGTGCCAAACTTGTCAGTTTGGGCCGTGCGCGGACTGCATCAAGGCCGAAAACTGCCACAGATTTTCGTCGTGGTTTGCCTCACCGCGCGAGGCGAAAACATGCTGCCACGTACGAGCGCAGTGCCAAATAATCGAATGGGAGGGAGATCGGTTGGATCCGCCAGTGGGCCACCTTCGATTCATGATCCAGAATGCGCGGTGCTATTTTCTCAAGGGAGGAATTGCCACCCCGACCCCCATGACTGGCGTTTACCGAGCATGCATGCATGGGCCTTTACCAAATGGCCTTGCCCCGTTCGATTATTTCCCCGCGCGCGTTTACTGACAGGCTTTGCTGATCGGGGTGCTTATCATGAGGGCGGCTTTTTTATCCTGCATTATTTGTGATGGGGCTGTCTCGCTTCTAGAGAGGGAGAGAGAGGGGAGGGGGTGCAGTCGCGCTGCACTACCGTCCGCGCGGTTCGCGAGCTGAGATGCCTTCAAACATCATGCCATGTGCGAATGCAGATTCGGCAGTGGATCGTGAGAGAAGCAACAGGAAGCGGACAGGGAGCCCACCGCCCGTGCAGGCCGCGGCGGCGCCGCGGGCGCTCGGCCCTCCGCCCTGGAGCTCCTGGCGTCGCGGCTGGCCCGCCCGGGCGGCCCCCCGCCGCCGCTGCTAGGCGAGCTGCAGGAGGCGCTGCTCTCCGAGCTGCAGGCGGCCCTGCGGCCAGCCGCGGCGGAGGGCGGCGGCCGGCCCGCCGAGCGCGCCGCCGCGGCTGCGGCGCTGACGCCGCCGCTGCGGCTGCTGGCGGCCGCCGCGGGCAGCGCCCCGCTGGCAGCCGTGCTGCTCGCGTCGCTGCGCGCGCACGCTGGCGGGCTGGAGGGCATGCCGCCCTGGGCGGGGGCAGCCGGCGCGGAACCGCTTGCCCCGTTGCTGGCCGCGGGCGCCGCCGCGCCGCTACTTGCCGCGCTTTCGGCGCTTTCGCAGCTGGCGCCGCCGGCGGCGGAGGCGGCGCAGCCCGTGCTGCGGGGTCGGCTTGCCGAGTCCCTGGAAGCCGCATTGCCAGCGCTGGACGCGCCGCCCCCGCCCGCGGGCGGGGGCGGGCGCCTGCCCTGGCGCGGGGTTGCGTCCCGAAGTGCCGCAGCCTCCAGCCAGGAGGCCGCCGGCGCCGAGGCCGGCGACCCCGCCGCCGCGGCGCCCACGGCGCCCGCGGAGCCGCCGCAAGCGCCGAGCGACCTTGAGCCGCCCCCGCCCGAACGAGCCGGCGCGGGCTTCTTGGCGCTCACCGCGCAGAAGATCCTGGACGAGGCGAGGCAGCTGGCCGAGCCAAGCAGAGCGCCCGAGGATACCGCGAGGGTGGCCGCGCCAGCACCGCCGCGCAGCCCAGGCTCACCCGCCAGACGCTCGGCATCGGCGGCCGCGCCGCCGCCGGGGCCGCCGCCAGGCCCTGGGGAGGGCGATGGCGCCAGCGAGGAGGCCACGACGACTGGGTCGCGCGCGCCCGTGGGCGCAGCCTCGGGCGTCTCGTCCCACAGCGCCATGTGCACTTTCGTGAAGACCGGGAACCACTTCGTCGAGCAGCACTGGTACTACTGCTACACCTGCGGCTTCTCGGGCGAGAAGGGCATCTGCGCCGTCTGCGCGCAGTCGTGCCACGCGGGGCACGATGTCGTCTACTCGCGCAAGAGCCGGTTCTTCTGCGACTGCGGCGCCGGCGGCACGTGCGCTGCGGCCCGCCGCTCTGTGCCCGTGCGCACCATGCGGGACTACGCCTCATGGGCCCGCGCCGCGCCTGCCTGTTGCGGCGGGGCCCTCGGCGCGCCCGGCGCAGCTGCCGCCGTGGAGTTGGCCCCAGCGCGCGGCACGCCGCCGCTGGGCGCGGAGGCCTGGGGCGAGGAGGCCGCCGAGGTGCTGCTGCGATTGCTGCGGGTGCTGGTGCCGCTGCTGCAGAGGTGGCAGCCGGCCGCCGAGCTCGGCGACCTGGCGGCGCCGCAGGCGCCGGTCGGGGTCGGGGACGTCGCGCTCGAGGTCTCCCCGTGGGCCTCGTTCCCGAAGGGCTCCTTCGAGGGCCAGCAGCGCGGCGAGTGGGCGGCCCTTGTGGGCGCCCGGCAGCTCAGCCGCGCGGCGGCCAAGGTGCACGGCGCCGCGCGGCGGCCGGTGGCGTTCCTGGCGCGCAGCCAGCTGGTCGTGGCCGAGAGGGACCGTGTGCGGCTGGTGGAGCTCAAGGACGGCGCCGCCTGTGCTTCTTTCCGGGCCTCACGAATGGGTCTGAGCAGATGGGGTCAGAGCATCGTGCCGCAGCACCGGTTCATCGGCGATGCGGCTCGATGTGGAGCCCGGTTTTCTCCGCGCCCGCGTCGCCAATGCACCGCCGATGTCGCCCATGCATCAGCGATGCATCGGTGATAAGGCGCGATCCTCCCATCCCATCTGCTCGGACTCCATCTAGCTGGCCTCCTTTCCTCTATCGCAAGGCTGCGCTGGAGGCGCCGCCAGGGGTGACCCGCGCAGATCCAAGACATCCGCGCGGGCCTCCTAGAGCTCATGCTTGTGCAGTGTTGCAGGGCTGCGACCCTTCTGGTCAAGCGGCTATCGATGGCCAACCGGCCATCGGCTGGTACTCCTCGTTGCCACGCGCCCGCCAATGCCACAACCTGCCACCCCCGACCTCGCGACCGCTTCCCCGGGGCCGGTTTTTCGTCCCGAGTCGTTTTTCGACGGTCCCGAGGCCCGGCGAGGGCCTCGAGAGGCCGAAACTTACGAGAACCCCCCGTCTCGATTTTTTCGAGACGCCCCGGTCTCTGGGCCTTCAGCGTCGAGACGCACGCGGCATGGGCCCCCCTCCGAGCCCTGGGATCCCTGCCTGTTGATCTGGGTGTCCCTGAGCCCCCTTCGGCTTGGACGGTCCGGGAGCCAGGCGAGGGGCCCCCTCAGAGAGGCCGATGACGGCCACACGCCGTCCGTCGTGCAGTCAACGCGCATAGTAAGGACAAACGACCTTTTCAAGGGGGGCCCTTGGGTCCTTGCCTGCCTCAGCCTCTGCGGCCCGTCCCTGGCAATTTTCGCAGGCCAGCTTCTCAGGTTCCCCGGGGGTTTGGCCGCCTGCCGCCCAGAATACCTCAACTTCTGCCTCCAAGGGTCTTGCGTCCTTGCCACGCGTCCTTGCTACACGTTTTCACTGTATTTCTGCCCGCGGCGCGCGGGGATCTGGGCCGCCCCCCTTCCGAGTCGACCCCCGCGGGCTTCCCCATGGGGTGCTCTGCGGCGCCAGCTAGTCGAGGGGGGGGCGGGGGGGCGGCGCCCGGCCTCCCGGCCGGGAGGCGCGCACGGGGCGGGCGGCGCCCAAAGACGTGGATCGTCGACCCCCCTCGAGTCTCGAGCCTAGAAACCACCGACCCCGAGCCGCGATCCCTCGAACCCATCACCGAAGAGCCTGTAGGGGACGGAGTGCGAATCGTGCCTCAAGACCTGGGGCCTCGAGCCTCGATCCCCCCCCCTCTCCCGCCGTGACAATCCTCCGCGGTGCCTCGAGGACGACGTCGTCCAGGGCGCGCCCGCCGCCGCGGACGCGGCCGCGGCCGGCGGCGAGGCGGCGAGAGAGGGGCGGCGACCGAGGGACGACGACTCTGGCGGTCTCTGCGCCGGCCGTCGGCGGGCGCGCACGCCGGCGGACGACGACGACGACCACCCGCGGCGACGCAGGACGACGGACGACGACGACGCACGACGGACGACGATGACGACGACGATGACGACTGGCGACGACGACGACGACGACGACGACGACGACGCGGACGACGACGACGACGCCGACGCCGATGACGGCAACGCGGTGTTTTGGCTCTGTTGTCCTTCCGGAGTACCTCTTGAGGGCTCCCGAGGCGTCCGGGCCCTGGACGACGGCGTCTAAACAATCCTAGACTTGCCGCGCGGTCTGGGGTGAATCATACTTTCGGCGGTTTCGCCAGCTCGTGTGTGTAGCGCTTCCCGGTGCAAGTCCCAGTCCAGAGTCTGTAAATCGTGTATCCGTGCCAGTCGTGCTTCGGAAAGCGTGTCTCGATCGCGTACAATTTGTGTTGCCACCGGTTCGCAATGCCATGCTTTGATATGCATGTGTGTATTTGTGTAACCTGTGCACCGCCACCGCCGGGCGCTCCTCCTCCCTCCCCCGTGCATTGCGGCTTAATTCGCATTCGTATGCCCTACCAATGCTCTTCTGCCAGCGCAGTCACGCTGACTAGCCGCCTACGCAAAAGTGTATGTGTGTATCTGTGTGTACGCGTACTTATGTTGAGGCTATTCATGCACATGTGCTGCATGGCTATGTTGCTCGATTTGAGTATGAGGCCATGCATGTATGCGTATGCGCGGGTATGTTGGGTGTGTGATTGTGTGGTCCTCACCTGCGGCAGCATATATCCAGTGAGAACCGCTTCCCCCGGATAACAAAGAGTACCCTCCCCTTAATCCCTGGGTGGTTATTCTCCCCGGGGCAGACAGATTTGATTGTGGAGAGGGGCGGCGAAGCCGAACTTGATTATCGCGGGGGGGGAGTTGCGAATCGAAGTTGCGATCTTCTAATGTTGACTAGCAACATCTTCAAAAACGCTGAGCATGGCAATGGAGATCTCATCATTTCAGCTTTCGCAAATCACGAGCGTGTGGCAGGACCTCTCCTGCGCAGGCCACCTTTGAGCGCGAGACAGGACACCAAGGACAGGATCTAGTTACTCGAGCGCCCAGGATTATCATCATTTTTATCATCATCATTATTATCATCATCATCATTATCATTATCATTATCATTATCATCATCATCATCATCATCATCATCATCATCATCATCATCATCATCATCGTCATCGTCATCGTCATCGTCATCATCATCATCATCACCATCATCTTCCGCCAGGAAAATCCTTTATTATCCCCCCAGACACCGATCTTTATTATCCTCAGGGGTTTAATATCACGGGTCGTTTTTTGTGTCTTCGTGGCGACCGCCGCCCATGACGTAGCGCATTTGACAACACAACACTGATTGGACTTCTTTCCGCGCAGGACTCAAGAAGACGCGACGAAAATTATACGTGAAACCCCGCGCGCGAGAGCGGCTAACTTCTGCCTCCCAGGGCAGGGACTTTTGAGGAGATCCCGCAGATACCTCAGGGGGCTTACGCGCATGCCCCGAGACCATCGACGACCGTTCGACGACGACGGCGACAACGTGACCCACGACGACGGCCATGGCGGCGGCCAGCATGGCGGGCAGGCGCCCGCGAAGCGGCGGCGCATCTTCGACGAGGCGCCCCCCCCAGTCGAGGGCACCAGCGCGGGGACGTCGCACCAGCGGGGCGGCGGGCAGTCGCCGAGGGCCGGCGAGGTCCCCCGGCGGTCGCCGCCGCCGCCGCAGGCCGCCGTCGCCGACGCCGCCCGCTCGCCGCCGCCGCCGCCGCGTCGAGGGACGGCGAGGTCTGCGGCGAGAAAGGCCGCTGGCCGCCTCCGCCGGCCTTGGGTTCCTTCTGTTTCTGTTGCTCCTCCTCCTCCTCCTCCTCCTCCTCCTCCTCCTCCTCCTCCGCCTCCGCCTCCGCCTCCTCCTCCTCCTCCTCCTCCTCCTCCTCCTCCTCCTCCTCCTCCTCCTCCTCCTCCTCCTCCTCCTCCTCCCTCTGGGAGACTCACTGCTCAGTCGAGGTTGCAGGGGTGTGGAGAGGTGCTGGCGGTTTCCGCCTTCGCTCAAGCACTCCTGTTCGGGTCGTGTCTCTCCCTTCCCTCCCTTCCCTCCCCCTTCCCCGCACGACGTGTGCTTGGTCAACAGGTCCAAAAGGTCCTCCTCTTCCTCCTCCTCCTCCTCATCCTCCTCCTCCTCACCACCACCGCTCAAGACTCACATGGGCATGCCCCACAACGGCCGTGCCCCGAAACGGCCTCCTGAAGCTTCGCACATGTATATATATATAAGCATATAGGATGCCAGCGTATACTTCTCTCGCACGCTCAACGCCCCTACACGCCCGCCGTACGCATGCAGGCCTACCAAGGCCTCCGAGAGCCTTGACACAATCAGAGGGAAACCAACCTCCAAATGTTTGCTTTGCTTCGAGCGGTCCCCAGGCAAGAATGTGCGGCGGGGTGCCCAGGGAGCACCAGGACACTTCGAACCTGGCGGCCGCGGTATGCTGGGTGTGCGAGGCCTGTCGAGAGGTCCTTCCATGGAGTCTGGCAACCTCCTTCCATGGAGTCTGGCAACCTCAATCTGTCGGGTGTGAGGAAGGAGCTGTGTCTGCTTTTTGTCCACCTTTGCGAGCCTCACGAGGCCTTCTTAGGGCCCAGGGCCAATTCGAAGACAGCCCAGAAGGAATGGCCGACCCTTGGAGAAGGGGTCGAGGGGGGCAGGGGATCGCTATCTCGAGCGCCGCCAACGCCGTCATCGCCGTCGCTTCTGTCGTTGTCGTTTCGTTTCCTCTGGGGCCTCTAGCTCTCTGTCTCTCTCTCTCTCTCTATCTTTGTTTTCTTTCTATCTCTCTCTCTGGACGCGGCTCGAGAGAGCTGGCCTTGATGACGTCCCGTGAGGCGTCTTTGGATTTTCTGTTGCACGAGAGTATTTGCAGTCGCTTTATTCTCTTGCACAGCTGTGCTCTAGAGCTCGGACCTCTTTATTGTAGCGGCCTTCGGCCAGTGCCGCCGATCCGGGGCGCTCCGACTGATGTGATCCTTCTTCGCCCTCGTCCCTCCTCTCTTTTTCCCTCCCCTCCTCTCACTCAGCATTTATCGAAGACGCCTACGGCGAATCACCGCCGCCCCCTGCCTTTTTGGAAGCGCCTATGTGGCCGAACGTTGAGGCCAGACCTGCCAAGCTATCGGACCACGTGTTCCCCGAATCGGTTTGGAAAGCCTTCGGGGAACACGTGGGCATCTTGAAGGTCATCTTGGCCGTCTTGGAGGCCTCTTGGGCAAGCTTTGGGCGATCTTTGGGGCTTTTTGGGCCGTCTCGGGCCAGCTTCGAGCCAACTTCGGCCATCTTGGTGGGTTCCTGGCACGTCTGAAGCCGTCGGAAGCCGTTTGGGGGGCCTCTATGGGCCGACTTGGGGCCCGCTTGGAATGCTCCAGGGCCGTCTTGGAGGCCATCTTGGGCGTCTGGGAGGCCATCTTGGGCGTGTTGGAGGCCTCTTGGGCCCTCTTGGGGCCCTCTAGGGGCCATCTTGGAGGCCACTTGGGCCATCATGGGGCTCTCTTGGGGGCCTCTTGGGCGATCTTGGGGGCTTCTTGGGCCGTCTCGAGCCGTCGGAGAGCCGAAAAGGCGCAAATGCCAGAATCCTTCAAAAACCAAGGAAAAATCAATGATTTTGGCCTCTTCGGACTCTCCTGGAGGACCTCTTGGAGGCCTCTTGGGCCGTCTGGGAGGCCTCTGGGGGGCCTCTTGGGCCGTCTTGGGCCGTCTTGGACTCTCTTGGGCCGTTTTGGAGGCCGTCTTGGACCATCTCGGGCGGACTTGGAGGCCATCTTGGGCCATCTTCGCGATTTTTTGAGGATGTCCCGAGCGAAACGGCCGTTTTTTGGAGGATTGTTTCCGGTCGTTGAGCACGTTTGGGGATTTTCCGGGTGGCCGGCGGGTTCTGCCGGAGCCCACTGGGGAGTTCTTTTGGAAAAAGAACCAAAACCAAAACCAGCTCATCCAGCACGCCGTGCACCCCTGCAAGCAGGGGGCGGCGGATCCAGTGGCCGTCGGCCTATCCCGCCACCGTGCGTGGGTGGTGGGTCAGAGGCCTCATGGATGCTGGTTGGGATCTGGTGGTTGGCTGGGACTTCTGGGGGCCTCTTGGGCGCCTCTTGGGGTTTCTTGGGGGCCTCTTGGGGCCACTAGAGGGCCACTAGAGGGCCTCTTGGGGGTCTCTTGGGAGCCTCTTGGGGCTTCTTGGGGGCCTCTTCTGCGCCCCTTGGGGCCTCTTGGAGGCATCCTCGGAGCCTCTTGGTGCGGGAGGGGTGGCACTCGAGTTCGGAACCCCCTCGGAGGCCACGATCCTTGTGAGGGGTGTCAAAAAACGCATCCGCCGGAAACTCGCAAACCCCCCCCCACCCCCCCTTCCCCAGCAGAGCCACCCCGGCAACCCCCCCAGAGGCTGAGGCTCAGCCTCGAGGCTCTAGAGCTCGGACCTCTTTATTTTCGTGGTTCGTTCGTTCGTGGTTCGTCGTCCTCCCTGGCCTCTCGGTCCCTGGATCCCACCCTCCCCCGAGCTTCCCAGGATTACCCGCTGGCCTGCCCCTGGCCACCTCGGGCCCTGCACCCCCCCCCGGGGTTCCCAGAATCACCCGCTTGCCTGCCCTGCTTCCCTGGGGCCTGGACCTCTCCTCCCCACGGGCCTCCCAGGGCAGCCCCTCTGGGCCGCCGAAGCCTTTATTTTCGTGGTTCGTTCGTTTGTGGTTCGTCGTCCTCCCCCGGGCCTCTCAGGATCACCCGCTGGCCTGCCCCTACTTGCCTCAGCCCTCGACCCCTCCTTCCTCCGGGCCTCCCAGGGCAGCCCCCCTGGGCCGCCGAAGCCTTTATTTTCGTGGTTCGTTCGTTCGTGGTTCGTCGTCCTCCCTGGCCTCTCGGTCCCTGGATCCCACCCTCCCCCGAGCCTCCCAGGATCACCCGCTGGCCTGCCCCTGCTTCCCTGGGCCCTGGACCCCTCCTGCCCACGGGCCTCCCAGGGCAGCCCCCCTGGGCCGCCGAAGCCTTTATTTTCGTGGTTCGTTCGTTCGTGGTTCTTCGTCCTCCCTGGCCCTCTCGGGCCCTGGACCCCCCCCATCCCCCGGGCCTCTCAGGATCACCCGCTGGCCTTCCCCTGCTTCCCTCAGCCCTCGACCCCTCCTTCCCCCGAGCCTCCCAGGACAGCCCCCCTGGGCCTGGGTCGTCTTATCTCGATGCGCCCTCTCATGCCCCTCCTCTTCTTTTTACCTTCAATTGTGCAAGAGCCAGGGCACGCGTGCCACTTGTTCATCTTTGTCTGTCTTCGTCCTTTCTCCTCCCTCCTCCGTCTGTCCTTTTCCTCCTCCTGTTGCCGCCGCCTCCCTCCTCCCCCTTTGTCCTTCTGCGTCCCACAACTTTGCTCACCCTCCTCTGTTCTCAGTCACTCCCTTCTCGTTCCTCATAGCCCCTCTCGTTGTTTCATTCCTCCTGGTCAGAAAGTCCTCCAAGACAGGTCCACGGGTCAATCCAGAGAGGGGGAACTACGAAGATGAGAGATCCAGGAAGAGGAGCAAGAGTATGTCATGTAGACGAATGTAGCCACTATTCTTTTCTCGCTGGCCACAAGGAGTTTCGGAGGGAATGTCCTCCGTGGGTTGCTTCAAATCTGTTGAGGCTCGTTGAGGTTCCTGGAGGTTCTCGGAGGCACATGGTGGATCTCCAAGGTTTCAGGTGGTCTTCCGAGGCTTCCGTAGGGCATGGAATGTATTTTAGCATATGTGTTGGATGAGTTCGGGAATCTGTGGAGTACTCTGGAGAGGGAGGTACAGATGGGGGAAGAGAAGGATGTGGAAGATGGGAAGGGAGAGAAGAGTGATCAGGATAACGAGGGGGAGGGGAGGGGGAGGAACCGAAGGGGGAGGAGGAGGAGGAGGAGGAGGAGGAGGAGGAGGAAGAAGGAGAAGACGAAGAAGAAGCTGAGGAGGAGGAGGAGGAGGAGGGGGAGGAGACCGAGGAGAGGAGGAGGAGGGGGAGGAGGAGGAGAGGTCGGGGAATCGGGATATGATGAGGGGGAGGGGGGGCGTTGTTCCCACACCCCGTGCCCGGGAGCTCGCAGGATCGAGCCGAGGAGGGGATTTCGGACGTCTTGTTGAGTCCTGGAGGCTTGCCCTCGTCGGGATGCGTTCCAGCAGTTGCGCCTTGCCGGGAGCGCTCTTCGGGTGGCCAGGTCGGCCCTTAATGGCCGCGGATGGCCCGAGATGTGACCCGAAGGTCAGGCATTTGACATATGTTGGAGGAGGAAAAAGGTACCCATGTTGCTACCCTTCGCCTCGCTTTCCCTCTTGTTGGGCTTCTTGGGAGGCAATCGTCACCACCGCTGGATTCGCCTCGAAATCCTGGTCAGAAAGCACCCCTGGAGAGGCCTGGGGAGTAGCGGTATTGGTACCTGTTGGTTTCCCCAGCATTTGGCGTATGGTGGAAGATGGATGAGTCCCGCGGGGCAAATTTCATGGCGGACCGTAGCCATTGTGGCTCAATTCACGACGGCTTCAGTTTGATGGCGAGTGCTGTCTCCGTGGGGCCTCCAGGGAAGCCAGTTCGCTCGTGAATTACATCGTCATCGAGGTTCTGACATACATTCGCCTTCAAGCTTGCAAGGCCTTGCTCAAGCTAAGGGTGCGTCGTGCTCGACATGTAAGGGCAGCGGTTACTCGTCCCGATTGCAGCGACGGCTCACTGTCAAGACGTGAGATTGAGGTCGTTGGTTTAGGGGTTGGTGTAGTAGGCCTCAGTTGCGTACTCGGATGTGGGACGCCTAAGAACCCTTTTGGACATCTGCAGCATTCCTCGCCAGACGAAGATCTGTCTTGCGAGAAGAGTATATGCAAGATGTGCCTGCGCAAACCGAGAAACATCAAGGCGAAGCGCTTGACGCTGTACCATGGCGCGACAGTGGTTTTCACGTCCCGAATTCAAAATGTGTAAAGCCTTCGAAAGGATGGTGTAAAGCCTTCAACTGAGTGGAGCAAAGCAGAATTATACGGCCCAGTGGTCTAAACTTGCGAGGCAGACATCGAAAGTACAACATCTATTTCAGACCTAATTCGCCACATTCCAAGAGAGTGGATACATCGTGGGTTCGATTCTGCCAGTCTGCACAAGCGTCAAGGAGAGTTGATGGTGTGTTTCCATTGTCGTCCATATCCATGTCGTAGATTCTGCGTAAGCGCGTGAACGATAATGGTCTGAACTACGTGCAAAAGTGCACATACACCGAACGCAAAGAGTGCCTTCCCACGCTTGATGCGCCCAGGGGCGCGCGGATGCTTATGCACAGCGGTCAAACATGTTCTCGCCCCATGTCTATGGCATCTTCCCTGTGCTGTGTCCCCCTTCCCCCTCCTTTCTTTCAGGTATTTCGAGATAGATCGCTGCACAGCGTTCCGGAACGCTCTACAACGGCCACGGCGCCCGATACGTTCTCCAAGCCCGCCGATTCTCAGAGACTCTCGATTTGTATCGGTCCGATGTTGTCTCGATTCTGAGGCTCACGAAGAGGAGGGGCACCGCGAAGATGTCGTCATCCCCTTTTGTCGTCCAACCCCGAGATCCGACGTTGCGAGAAAATTCGAACATCGCGAACTATCACGTCCGAGTATGTGCAGCAGCAATAGTTTTACCAGCGCGACCCAGGGCCGACACTCGATGGTTAATCATGACCCCGGGCCGTAACTTGTTTTGCGGGTTTGGGGACTCCACGCCTTTTGCCAGGGATGCCGTTTTGCGCCGTGTGTGGGGTCCTCTTGAAGGCTGCCCCTGGGGAGTAGGAGCGAGGTGTTTCACGGGGGCGTGACGCCGCGAGGTGGCGACGGCTGCGGCATGACTCCCCGCCTGTGGAACCCCCACTCCTTCTGATCGAGGGTTCTTTCGTGCCTGGGCCAGGGGAGGGGGACTTACGTATTCTAAGTGCCCTCCTCATGTATCCTTGCCCCCCCCCCTCTCGGTGAGGACCATCATCAGCCTGACCAGTGAGGACCGTCATGGGGCCTCACACCCCTCGCAGCTTCAATCATAAGGGGCTGCGGAGGCCAGACCAAATCCCCACGAGCCTGGCACCGTACGTGCAGTGCCAGGGGTGGCGGCCCGTCTTCCCATCCCACCATCATGCGGGGATGCGAGGTCCCGGAAGACGTGACCGGGCGGGCACGAATGGGCATCATAGACGGCTCGAAACCAAAAGATGCATCATTGCCTCTTCATTTTCCAGATGGATTCTCCCTCCGATCCAATTCCATGTTCCTTTTTTCCTTCGTTGGCCTCATTCCATGCGTAGCATGCTTTCCCATCTCTCTGCGGCGTTTCCGAGACAAACCGATCTGCGACGGTCCCGAGGCTCGAAACAGGGCATAAACGCCCGGATTGAACCCGTTGCAGCGCCAGGATGCCATGCCGACCCTCGTGGGCGAGAAATATATGTGTATTCGCGGCCTCGCGCGCAGGGCCCCTGGGCGTCGACCCCGCGGAATCGGAGCTTCTTGTTCGTGGACGCCCTGCGCGGGACGTACACCGTGCGACCGCGTGTCCGCGAGATCGCGCCCTGGAGCCTAGACCGCGAGGGCGCAGCTGCCGACGTTCGCCGTTCGTGAGAGCCCGCGGCCGCTTCGGCTCCGGCCTGCGGCCCTCGCGCCCGAGGAGCGATGGCGGCGCCCGCCGCGCCGCGCCCGAGCGCCCCGGCGGAGCCCGCGCCCCGGCGGCGCGTGCTGGTGCTGCGCCACGGGTCGCGCCCGTACGACGAGGCGGACCCGCGGCTGGACAGCCTTGGCGAGCGGCAGGCGTCGGAGGACGAAGCGGTACAGGTACCGCTGTACTTGGCATCGCTCGGACGTGTGTATTTTTCCTTCGGCGAGGACCGTCTATAGGAACATCCTGGATCATTTGGCGAAGAAGCCGGCGCGAAACCGACAAAAGCACAGGGAATGGACGTCCGAGCGATGGCCAGACATACCCCTCGCTCGTCTCCGCTCTCTTGGGCCTCACGGGAGGCCCTCGTCGCCACGGCGGGACTCGCCCCGAGGTGCTGGTCGGGACGCCTTCCGGTGGGGGGAGCACCATCTATCGGCACCTGTCGGTTTCCCCCAGGCGATCGCGGTGGCGGAGCACTTCTTGGGTGTTGCCAAAGGTGTCCCTGGCTCAAGGTGTCCCCAGGATCTCTCAGGTGGCCACCGAAGCGCCCAGCGCAGCAGCCCTCACGAGGCCCGGAGGGCCCCACAGGGGTTCCGACACGGGGCGAGACGCTGGGGACACCTCGGGCTATGGGGACACTCCCTGGCCACCCCCGGACTTCTCCAGGCAGGCGGTGGCGCACCCGCCTGGCCTCGCTCCGATCTCCGCGCTGTTCTGCTCGCCGTTCTCGCGCGCGCTGCAGACGGCCGGCCCGGTCGCCCGCGCGCTCGGCCTCGCGGTGCGGGTCGAGTGGGGCTTCTGCGAGCTGCTGGCGGACCAGTGGCTGCACTGGGAGGACCCGCTGCCGGAGCTCCGCCGGCGGGCCCCGGAGCTGCTGGACGCGCTGGCCGGCGGCGTGCAGATAGACGCCTCCTACGCCACCGCCGTGGTGCCCGAGTACCCCGACGTGGTCGGGTGGCTCTACGGCACGGGCGACGCGGAGGAGGCGCAGCGCCGTTCGCGGGCCCTGCAGCGGCACCTGGCGGCGGTCCGCGCGGCGCTTGCGTCCACGAGCGGCTCGATCTTGATCGTTGGCCACGGCGCCACGCACGACTTCGTCTTCGAGGCGCTGTGCCCGGGCGAGTGGGGACAGCACACCGGCTGGCACACCCCGCACTGCGTCGCCAACTGCGCCCTCACGGAGATCCGCGAGGTCGGCCCTGGGCGCGGCTGGACGCTGGCGGAGTTCGGGGGCGTCCCCTGGCAGCGGCAGAGCTCCGAAGCGGCCACCGCGGATGGCCCCGGGCCGTACACCGCTCCCGCTGGCAGCAGACAAGCAGACAGTGCCTGACGCTTCTCCGACAAAGGGAGGCCCCCCCTCTCTCCGCCCCCCCAGGCACGGCCAGACGCCGACGGCCACCCACAAGAGCACAAGAGGGCGGACAGGCGAGCAGCGCTGCGCGCCGCTGACGCCTGGCACGCGAAGCTCGGAGCGGCGCGCCCCGGGACGCCAGCTGTGTACGTACACCGCGGGTGGCCCGGCCCTGCCCTGGGCTCAGCATCGGTGTACCTGTATTCTGCGTTCCCAGCCGAGCCAGGAGGGCCTACAGTCAAAACTCCGAGTAGGGACGCACGGGTGTCCTTAGGGTACCGTTGCGTCCCTGCCTTCGCGGCCCGTCCTTCACGGTCTTGGCAACTCCTCAGGGTGTTGGCAGCCCGCCGCCCAAGAAGTGTGCCAAATTCGGCGTCCAGGGCCCTTGCGTCCTCACCGCCCGTCTTGACTAAAGGTTCCCACTGTACGCGGCGGTGCGCTGCGGCCATGATGGGCCAGGATAACTGGCGCCCGTTGACTGCGTGTTCGCTGCGCGACGCGCCGCTGAACAGACTGTGCAGTGGTTCGCCGCCCTCCGGCAATCATGCGCGGACCAGCCGCGTGGCGCTCCAGAGGGCCTCGCCTTCTGGAGCCGGAGGAGTCGACACCTCTTCCACGGCTGAGGGACGGCAGAAGTTGGTGGAAGCAGATCGAGGCCGCCCCCGCCGATAGCCCACGGGCGAAAGACTCAGCCCTCCAAGAGATGGCACGTGTTGTGGCTTCTGGGTTTGAGGAACCCGCCAGTGACGTGGCCTGCCAGGGCGGGAGCTGGATGCACTCTGTGACCGCATGTCGTTCCAGCGCTCGGCCCTCGGCAAGCTGCCACGCACATCCAGCGCGAAATTTCCGCATCGTCAGCCCAGTCGAGTGGAGACCGAAATGTTTGCACTGCGTGGAGGGGCGCAGGGGGTCGGTGGCTAGCGTGGGGGCGTAGTCTCGCCCCCCCGCCCCATCTTCTGCCCCGAAGATGCGGCAAGCCCCATCAATTTGCAAGCGTAGCCGTAGCCCTCTTTGTGGCCACGCATTGACAGCGTCCAGAAGGCAGTAACTTGTGACCCCTCTCGTCTCTATCTTTTGACTGTCTCTCATGGTGCTTACTTCGGCCGTTTTAGGACCCTCCTGGGCTCTTGTGGGCCCATCCTGGGGCCCTCTTGGGTCGTCTTGGGGCCGTCCTGTGCCGTCCTGGGGCCCTGTTGGACCGTCTGGCACCAGTCTCGGCTGTCTGGGGAGTCGTTTGGGACTGCCTTCGGGACCTCCTGGGGCCCTCTTGGGCCGTCTTGGGGCCCTCGGGGTTGCCATGCTTCTCTCTTGGGCCGCCTTGGGCCCTCTTGAGCTCTCCTGGGCTGCCTGGGAGGCCTCGTGGCGCCCTCACAGAATTGTTTTGGCCTGTCTATGGTTAGTCAGGCGCCCTCGCAGTACCATTTTGAGCCGAGGGGCCCGGCAGAGTTGAAACCTCATCGATGCCCGTGGAGTCCTGCATTGACTCTACAGGCTTACGCCACATCCGCCGACCCCTTCTGTGAGTGTTGCGAGGCCAGGAGTTTCTGGCCAGCGGCGTCTTGTGTGAGGGTGCGGTGTCGCGCGCGGGTGGTGGCAGATACGTAGGGGGTCCAAATGTTTGCGTGATGCCGGTGGTCTGGGGCGTGTTTTGCGAGCGCTTTGCGTGCTGTGCACCCGGGTGCGGGGTGTCCTTCTGGGAGGTCGGCCTTTCGACCCGCAACCAAGTGGAGGAGCACTGGAAGACGAAAGGAGCAAGAGTAGTGTGTGGAAGCTGTGATCAGCGAAGCATCACAGCGAAAGATGTGGCAGATGAATCGAAACGGGTGAAGAGGCTGTTGACGTTCGCAGCGCGCACGAAACAGTTCGCGCGGCAGCAGCACATTAGCGCCGAGCAAGATAGTGAGCACGTCGCGAGGAAGAGTAAGGTTGTATGCGCGGAGTGCATTGCAGTTGGCGTGACGGCTCGCAATACGGAAGCGTCTGGGGGTCTTTTGGGGGCCTCCTGGGGGCCTCTTGTGGGCTCCTTGGGGCGTCTTGGCGGTTTCTTGAGGGCCGTTGGCGGCCTGTTGGGGCGCTCTTGGGGCCCCCTGGGGCTCGTGGGGGCGGAAAGCTAGATTTTTGAATTTTTGGTTGCCCTCTTGGGCCCCTCTTGGTGCCGTCTTGGAGCCTTCTTGGGCCGTTTTGGGGACCTCTTGGGCCGTCTTGGGGCCATATTGGACCGTCGCGGGGCCGTCTTGGGGGCCTCTTGGGCCGTCTTGGGGCGGTTTTCGGGGCTTCTTGGGCCGTCTAGGAGCGTCGGAAAACCCTGAAGGCGGATGTGTGAACATTGTACGTTTCACGACGGGAATACGTACATGTCTGCGTCCAGGGACCGTCTTGGGACGCATCTTGGGGGCCTCTCAGGGGCGTGTTGGGCCATCTGGAGGCCATTTCGGGTGTCTTCGATCGCTATTGGACCGTGTGGGACCATGTTGAGCTCTCTTGGAAGCCACTTGGAGCGCTCTTGGGGCCGTCATCGGGGCTCTCTTGGGCCGTCTTCGGCGCCGCTTGAGCCGTCTCAACGCCTTGTTGGGCTGTCTTGGGGCCCTCTTGGGGGCTTCTTGGGCCGTCTTGGGGCGGTCTTGGGGGCCTCTTGGGCCGCCTGGGAGCGTCGGAAAGCCCGAACGGCGAATTTGTGAAAAAAACGCACGCTTTACGAAGGGAACGGGCTAATTTTTGCGTCTAGAGGCACTCTTGGGACGCATCTTGGATGCCTCTTGGGGCCTCTTGGGGGCATCTTGGGCCGTCAGGAGGCCATCTTCGGTGTCTTTGATCGCTCTTGGGCTGTCTGGGACCATATTGAGCTCTCTTGGAGGCCACTTGGGGCGCTCCTGGAGCGCTCTTGGGGCCCTTTTCGGGGCCCTGTTGGGCCGTCTTGGACGCTTGTTGGGCCGTCTTGGGGCCCTCTTGGGCTATCTTGGGACCCTCTTGGGGGTTTCTTGGGCCGTCTTGGGGCGAGCTTCGGGGCCTCTTGGGCCGTCTTGGAGCGTCGGAAAGCCCAGAAAACGAATTTGTGAAAATTATACGTTTTACGAAGGGAATGGGCCAATTTTTGCGTCTAGGGACCCTCTTGGGACGCATCTTGGAGGCCTCTTGGGGCCTCGTGGGGACCTCTTGGGCCGTCTTGGAGGCCTCTAGGCTCGTCTTGGGGCCATCTTGGGCGTGTGGGAGCGCTCGTTTGGCGTCTCGGGGCCCTCGTGGGCCGTCTTGGAGGCCTCTTGGAGCCTTCTGGGCCCGTCTTGATCCCCTTTTGGGCCCAAAAGAGCCCCGTGGCGCGCTCGTGCTGGGCCCGGGGGGGGGGGGTCAAATCTCCGGTTTGGGGTCCCTGGGGGGGGGGATTATGGGGGGGGAACTATCTCACACGCCTAGAGACCCACAAGGGGTCGGCGGATTTGCAGCTGCTTTGCATGCTCGGGGCCCTCCTGCAGGGCCTCTTGGTCTTCTAGTCGGCATCTGGGCAGCATCTGGGTGCTCTTTTGGGCGCCTCTTGGGATCTTCTCGGTGAGAGTCGGGCGCCGCTTCAGAGGTTGAGACATCTTGGCGGCCTTGGTGGCATTCCTGGGCCATCTTGGAAGCCTCGGAGAGCTTCAGGGAGCCTCCCAGGGAGCCCCGGGAAGGGTGAGTGGGGGGGGGGGGCATGCGCAGGTGGGCGTGCGGAGGAGGGGAGGGGGGGTCCTCCGGAATACTTATAGAAGCCGTACCAGGCGCAGCACTTGGCATTCTGCCACGTCTGAGCTTGCCACAATGCCACAATGCAGACAATGCACTGTGGCGGGACAACAAGAAAAACGCACTCCTCCTCCGTCGTAGCGATGCAGCAGTCTCAGGTCGTTTGCGACGAGTGAGCTCGAGCCTGAAGCCAAGCTTCGATTGCAGTCGTGTGACGAGTGAGCTCCGAGCAGAGGCCGCGGAATGATACGGCGACGTGCCCAGGCGAGTCTGAGAGAGCGCACGCGCGCACACGCGTGCGCTGCGCTCGCGGGCACGTCTTGTTCCCGAGAAGCGCCGCGCTCGACAGGTCGAGGCAGCGGTCAGTACAGCTGTGGCCCGCATGCGACGTCAGAGGAGGAAGAGATGCCGAGATCGCTGCTCGTCCAGGATGGCCCTCGCCGCCACGGCTGGACCCTCTTTAGCATTCTAGTCCAAGCGCAACCTGCGAGAGCTCCGGGCAGTCGCGGTATGTGCATCTTCCTGTCCCACCACGTCTCGCTTCCGGTCTCCAGCAGCGGCGACCCGCCCAGAGCGTCGCGGGGGCGCCAGAGTTGTCCCGAAGGGGGGTCGTCCGTGGCCCGAGTGGTGACCAGGACGCCGACATCTTCGCGTCGTGAGCAAGTTGCGGCGCAAGATTGCCTCTGGGACGCGGCAGCGGCGCAGAGAGGCTCAGTGGCATCCAGCGCCGGCTTAGCGGAGGGACATGCATTGGAGTAAGCATCTGTTTCCGTGAGCAGTGGGGCAAGGGTGTCTCACGTCGCAACGCCGAACGAGAAGAGGCGTGACATGCTGACACCGAGACGTCACCAAGACTTCTCCTGATCATCCTCCTTCCCCCCTTCGAAATCACTCTGCCTTCGCTTCCCTTCATTGCTCCGCCTGCTCCATTGTGTTCTATGTTTCCCCATCAGCTTGCAGAGTTGTGCGACTTCGTTCGAAATCGATGTTGGGAGATGCGATGCGATTGTCTGGTCGTATCTTGTCCTTTCTTGATTAGTTCGTTCCTGCTGTTTCTTTGGAGGACAGAGAGGCCGTGGAGGGGAGGAGGAGGAAACGGAGAAGGGGGAGCAGCATATTAGCAGGAGAAGGCAGGAGTGATTGACGGAATCCGGAGGGGGAGGCGAAACAGGAGGTGGGAGAGGGAGGGCAGGAGGGAAGAAGAAAAAAGAGGAGGAGGAGGAATCGGAGGAGGGTAGAAGGGGGAATGGGGAAAGAGGGGAGTGATGATGACGAGGAGGAGTAGGAGGTGGTGGGTGCCAAGCGAGAGCCACTGGAAAAGGAGTAGGAGGAGGAGGAGGAGGAGGAGGAGGAGGCAGAGGCGGAGGAGGAGGACGACGACGACGAGAAGGAGGAGGATGCAGAGGAGGATGCAGAGGAGGAGGAGGAGGAGGAGGAGGAGGAGGAGGAGGAGGAGGAGGAGGAGAAGGAGGAGGAGGAGGAGGCAGGAGGAGGAGGAGGAGGAGGAGGAGGAGGAGGAGGGGGCAGGAGGAGGGGGAGGAGGAAGAGGAGGAGGAGGAGGAGATTGCGCAGGAGGAGGGGGCGAATGCGAAACAGACGGCATCATCATGCAGGGTGGCGAGAAGAGGGAGGGATACCATTCTCATTCTTATACACGTTCTCCCTGCCATTTTTCAACCAGGCATGCCGCGGAAGAAGCCAGCCTTCGGGACCCCGCGAAGCCTAGCCTAGCCTGTCGACGGCGAGCGCTCCCCCCGGTTCCCTCGCAGCAAGATGCCTTCGTGGACACTTGCTGCACCGTCCTTCTGGCCCTCTCGCGCGCCTCGGCAGTGGTCAGTCCTGCCTCCGTGCTGGGTCCTGACCATCCAGAGGAGTTCCCGGAGGCCCCTGGAGGGCCCACGACGTAAGAAAGCATGCCGAATGAACGCTGGCGTCCGGATGCCCGAACCCCCGAAGTCGTGACCGTTTTCAACGTGGACCCCCAGAGGCCTCGACCTACAGTGCCGTTTTTGATACATGCTCCGCGTGCGGACCATGTAAAAAAAAGCGTTGATTAATACATGCAAGGATGAGTTTATGCATTACTTTATTCATTAATTCAGCATGTAATGAAAATCTCATGCTTTTTTTAATACAAGAAACTATGTATTAAAAACTGCCCTGTACCCCCCAGGACCTGCTTTCTATCCTGAGCCGTCTGTTGGCCGTCCTGGGGCCCCGCGAAGGCCCCCTTGGCAACGCAAGCGTCTGCCCGTCGTGACCTGCTCGCGACGCGAGGGGGTCTCGCCTGGGCACTCGCCTTCCCGACCCTCGAGGGTCGCGGAGCCCGCTCCCCCGCAGCCCCCGCGCTTCCCCCCCCCCGCGCGCACCGCCCTGTCGGGGCACTTCCAGGCGGCCTGCCGGCCATCCTGGGTGGAAGCCGGCGTGTCGCGCATGGGCTGGCAGTCCCGCGGCGCCGCGCGCACGGATGCCGATCGCAGCCAAGCAACAACAACAAAGAAGGAAGAAGAACAGACAAAAAAAAAAACGCGCGCGCCGCCCCGCGAGAGCGCGCCCCGCACCTTGCCGACTCCGCGCGGTGGGCGCGAGGAGTTGTCCGGCCCACCCCCGGCCCAGGCAGCGCGCGCGGCGGCGCGCTGCGGCCCTTTGGTGTCGTGCGCCGTGGAAATATGCAGCGTTCAGTCGGGCCGGTCCCTCTACAGGGGGGATGTTCATCAAGAATCAGCCAGATAGTCGGGGGACGATGTTTGTCAAGTTTTTGTTACCAGTTTGGGTTTTTTTCTAGATTTTTCGTCGGACAGGCCCGACCTTACTATAGCTGCGGGAGGCCCTTTGCTGGGATCGGCTTTTTGGGGGGCCTTCGCAAGGCGCCACGCAGGGCGCCACGCGACAACAGCACGGCCCTGGATGGCAAATGTAGCGACGGACGTCGCTGATTACGCGAGTTGTTATGTTTTTCTTGGCTTTTGCCATCTTCGGCCCCTTGGGGGCCCTCGCAGGGCGCCGCGTTGGACTGGGGCAGCAAAAACGACTCGGGATGAAGAAAGGCCAGTCTCCGGGGAGGTGGTCGAGGGGGCCGACGTTGGGTCGAGACCTCCAGGAGCCGGCGTTGTGGAGAAGAGGCACGGCGTCGGGGCTTTGGGGCCACGCTTCCAGGGGCCGGGGGGCAGGACCCCGCACGCACCGAAGGAAACAAGTGCACGTGAGCAGGGGGGGGAGGGGGGGGGGGAGGGGCAACTCCGCCCCCGCTGGTTGCTCCCAATTGCCCCGCCACGGCCCGCAGAACTATCTCGAGGGCGGCTTTCCAAAGGCGCGATGCCAGGTTGGGAGTCCCTCCTTCCAGCCAGCAGCCCTTGGCGGCGCGCGCGGAGAGATGGCGCGAGGAGGGTTGCCTTTGAGGTGCTTCACACATTGGACCCGAGTCTTCTAAGGAGGCGTACGGTCCAAAATTTTGGCTTAGCGAGTCGTGCCGCCGATTCGTGCCCACCACGCCTCGGCGTGACACACTATCCACGTCCCAGTCCTCAAGCGTCAACGTCTCGAGATGTTCCCCCCCTCCCGCCCGCGAAGCTGATCGGCACGCCATCCGCTTGCAAGGCATGGCGTGTCACCAGGGCCGCCGCCGCGACACGCTAAGCAAACACCCACGACCGTATGAGAAGTCTGGAGTGATTCTAAGAATGCCCTTCCCTTCTGAGAAGCCCCCGTCTTTTCAGAAGGCCCCCACTCCCCTGCGCGCCACCCCCTTGTGCGAGCCGCCCAAACCCACGCCCTGTACTTTCAGCCCTCCCATCCCGCGAGAGGTCACCAAGCTGGAGAGTTGCCGCTTTCCCACGCCGTTCGAGCCCCTCGGGGTGGCCGTGTCAGATGCGTTCCCCGGCCTGTTCGCCATCTCCTCGCTGGAGGACGGCAGCGACCCGCGGGATAGGGACCTCTGTCTTATGAGGGATCGAGAATCCAGGCTCCAGGAGCGTCGGTTTGACCTTGTTCGCTTCTGAACAGCACTGGGGGCGTGCCAGAGCCTCACCATCTCCTCCTCCTCCTCCTCCTCCTCCTGCTTCCCCTCCTCCTCCTTCTCCTCCTCCTCCTCCTCCTCCTCCTCCTCCTCCTCCTCCTCCTCCTCCTCCTCCTGGAGAGTGGACGGCGTGTGCGCAGAACGGCGGCGGTTCCGCCAGCGGCAGGCCGGCGGACGGTGGGCAGAAGGTGGAGCGGTGTCGGCAGAAGGTGTGCGCGTTCGGTTGCGTCGCAGGCGTTGACGCTCGGTGGTGGGTTCCTCCTCCTCCTCCTCCTCCTCCTCCTCCTCCTCCTCCTCCTCCTCCTCCTCCTCCTCGGTTCGGTCGGTTGGCGTGTCGTTGCTGCGTCGCTGGCGCCCTTCTAGGCTGCCTGCGGCCCGTCGGTGTCGGTCGGTTTCGGTTTCGCTGTCGGCTCGGTCGGTTTTCAGGTGTGCCGTCGCCGTGGACGTTTCAGTCCAAGGCCGATTCGCCAAGATTTCCAACACTGGACTTCGATGTGCATTCCAGTTGCATCCTGCAGCGCCCTCGTCGCCATGGCCAGATCCGTCCCCCAGTTATGGTCGAAGCGAGTGTGTTAGGACGCGCCCCAGGACGTGCGTGTTGTTTCACGACGTGCTTCTTGTTGTTCTCGGCAACGGATAGCTTCGGGGAGAGCAGTAGCAGCAGGGCGGCGTCGACGAACCTCGAACGACAAATGACGACGACGACGACGACGACGACGACGACGACGACCTCCCTCAGAAATCGGCACCCAGACCTCCTCTGGAGCGCGCTCCAACGACGATCTCCAGGAGCACCCGTCCGCGGAGGCGAGAGAGGACCCACAGGCCCAAAAAGCAAGGGAACAGAGACAGGCATGCTGAACCTGCATCCTACCCCTCTATCTTCGCCGGGCGGGCCTAGGACGAGGATACATCCGTTCCAGAGCGTTCCGGCGCGTTTTTGTAACGTTCCAGAGCGCTCAGAGAAGGCCGCGGCGCCCGCTACATCCTCCAGAGCCGCCGAATCTCACAGATTCTCGATTGAATCTTCCCCCGAAGTTATCCTCGTGCTCCCGCGAATGTATCCGATTTATCCTCTTCTCTCGATCTAATCCTCCCCCGACTTTTATCAGATTTTATCCTCCCCCGAATGAACCCCCCCCGAATGCATCATCCCCCGAATCTATCCCCCGAGTCTATCCTCCCCCGAACTCATCCGCACGTGTCCTCGCTTCGACTACGGCAGACGACCACGGCGTCCACCAGCGCGCGAGGAGTGCCACGTGTGCGTGCCCAGCGGCCTCGCGGGCGACGGCGCGGGCCCGCCGCCGAAGGAGCCCCGCGTCGCCGGCGTGGTGCACCGCATGGCCCTGGACCCGCCCCGGCCCGTCGCCCTGCCGGCGGGCCCCCCGTGTGCACAACAATGTGGCTCACACGCACACACGCACACACGCAAACACGCAAACACACATAGTCACCAACAATAGCAACAACAGTAACAACAACATCAACAACAGTAGCAACAACAACAGCAGCAGCAGCAACAACAACAACAACCATGAGGCACACACGCAAGCACGCAAACACGCGAACACACTGACACACACACACACAGAGTGTCATACACACAGAGACACACACACACGTTTTTACTAATGCTTACGGTCGGCGGCGTAGAGAGCGCAAACTACGTGGTACGAGCACCGTCACACACACACACACACACACGCACACTCTGTTACACAGACGCACCCACAAATCACAACAAACACACAGATGCGCGCACACACACACACATACGCATACGTACACATGCTCTGTCACCCACACACTTTCTGCTCTCTTCTCACTCACTGCGACAGCCACGATGATAGCTGGTCACGTTGCCGCCGCCAAAGAATGAGTTGTCCAGGGGGAGGTGGAGGAGCAAGAGGAGGACGAGGAGGAAAACAAAACGTGGGGCGGAGGGAGGGGAGGGGGGAGGATGGACAGGAGTGGGCGGGGAAGGTCGCAGCGAGGGGAGTGGGGCGGCGCCGACGGAGAGCGGGATGGCAGCGGGGAGGGAGGGAGGGGGGCAGGAAGCCAGAGGGCGGGTGGGGCAGCCGAGGAGAGAGGAGCAGCAGGAGGGGGAGGGAGAGAGGGCGCAGCGGCAGCAGCCGGGGGGCAGCAGCGAGGCGCTGCTCGGCGGCCCGTCCGCGGCGTGCTGCTCAGGACCTGATGCTGGAGGCCCACGGCGAGGCCATCGTGGTGCTGAAGGCCCCGCCGGCGCCCTCCGCTCTGCTCTGTGCCCTCTGCAGAGGGTGCCTTGTCTTCGAGTCAGTTGTACACGCGGCTCCTCCTCCTCCTCCTTGTCCTCCTCCTGCTCCTCCTCCTCCTGCTCCTCTTCGCCCTTCTTCTTTGTCTTAGTAGATTCCTCATTGTTTTTCTTCTTCTTCTTCTTCTTCTTCCTCCTGTGTGCGCTGGTGCACGTGACGTCGGCATGTTTGTTTCAAAGAGGCGTCGTGCCTCATGCCCATAGTGCTTATCTCAGCGTCCGTGCCGCAGCGTGCGTGCCGCAGCGTGCGGCGGAGGCCTCAGAGATACTGCGGATCGTGTGTGGGCTGGTGCTGTGTGCACAGCCGTCGGCACCTGTCCGGCGGGGCAGCCGAGCACTGTGACGAGAGGGGCGTGGCTCTGGCCTCCATGGGACCAGAGCCGAGAGCCGAGGCTCCTCGAAACGTAGGGCGAGAATTATGCCACGGGTGATTCACTGCCCGTGTGGAGCAGTCCGAAAGCTTCAAAGTCCTGGGAAACCGAACAGCTGGGACCTCATCTCCGACTCCGTTGCGTCAGCCCCGACCCCAACCATGTCGAGGTATTTCTCCAAGCGTTCCTGTGGCGTCCGCATCTGCCCCGGGCGAGTCCAAGCACACGCGGAGCAGACGCGGGCAGACCCTCGAGGGGCCTTCGAGTAGGCTTGTTGGACGCCCCCAGACGAGGCTCAGGAGGGGAAACATCACAGACAATGAGTCGCCGACTCCCAGGAACATATGGGAAAAGATAGGAAGGGGGGGAGGGCGAGACCCAGGAAAAATATGGAAACATGTGGGGAATCCTGGGAACTGCGCGTGCGTGTGTGTGTATGTGTGTGTGTGTGTGTAATGATTCGTGTGTCCAGGGGCCCCCTTCCTTCGAGGAGGCTTGGCCTGTTGGACGCTCCCAGAGGAGGCCCAGGGCTCGAGCCTCGATGAAGAGCCCCCCGCGGTCACTGCTGGATCCTCCTCGAGATTCTGGTCAGGACGGTTCTTCAATTGTTGTTGGTGGAACCGCTTTTCAGAGCAGCGTTCTCTGACGGATTGTTCCAACAACGAGATGGGCTGCAGACAGGCTTGAGTTGCCCCAGTAAGGTTGGCGAACATATACCTCGCCCTGTACTTTGACCCTTCCGTAGTGACGCACCTCTGCGCTCAGGGGCAGCGTCGGGGGGGAGAAGCCACGGGGGGGGCGGACGGGTCCGCCGATCGCCTATCCATCGCCGATAAGTTGAAGTCGGGGGTGTCCCTCTACCGGAGGGATATTCAAAAATAGTATAGAAAATAATGTGGGGACGATTTTTTTAGCATTTTGTTCAGAATGTTCGGGTGATGTTGATGATTGGTCTTCCAAAATCCGCCCGTATGGGGACATGCCCGACCTAGCGATAGGAGCCCGATTGCCCACCCCGCCCGTCCGCTTTCGTTATCAGGGGCCGATCGCCGATCCATCTGCGATGTATCGCCGATTCCGGGTCGTTCCTCCCCTCAGCAGGTCCCACCTTTTACCTTTCCCCCTCTTGGACTCGTCCAGGGGTCGTGTTGATTGACCACCTCACTTCGTCACTGGCAGGTGTTTCAAGGCTGGGGGCACCACACTCACGTCCCGGGCCCCGTCGGGATCCCACAAGGGAAGCGACCCATGGCACGGATCCGTGCGGAAGATGAGTATGTGTGGGATCGAGACCCTTTCTCTCCCTGCCCCTTCCCGTCGCGCCGTCCGTCGTCTTCGCTTGTCGTCCGTCGGTCGTCCGTTATTTTGCGCCTGCTGTCTGCACTCTGCCAAAGGGTTGTTGCTTTCTCTGGTAAAAGCAGTGCAGGGTCGAGCCCCTTGTAATTATCCCCTCGTGGATTGATTGGATTCAGGACGTCGGGGTTCTGTATAGCGGGAGCCTTTGCCCTCGGCGGCAGCCGGGGAAAGGCCAGCCGAAGCAGAACGCGGGCGCGGCTCTCCTTCAATATATCTTTCTTGGGCACGCTATTGTTAAGTCGGGCCTGTCCCTCTACAGGAGGAATATTTGCAAAAATGGGCAAACAAAAATACGGGGACGATGTTTTAAATATTCTTTAACCATTCGTGAATATGTTTCGACTATGTCTAATTTTTCATCTGAAATCGGCCTGTAGGGGGACATGCCCGACCCACATGCACCTCTGATCTATCACAGCCCCCGCCCGCCCTGGCCGCCTAACACACACCCCGGGGAGCACGGATGCGCGGCGCGAGAAGCGGCACAGGGCTCCCAAGAGCCTTTGAGACGGCTCCAATGTGCCCCCCGAGAGCGCCCCCAGATGGTCAAAGTTGCTGCGTTCCTTTCACGAAAAACGTGGGTGTTCAGCAGATTCGCCTTTTGAGTCGTCCATGAGTCCAAGGCGGTCCCAGAGGCCCTCGAGATCGCCCCAAGACGGCCCAGGAAGCCCCCAGGAGGGCCCGGAGACGGCCCCAGAGAGCCCCAAGACGGTCTAAGGGGTGCCCAAGACTGCCCAAGAGGCCCTAAGAGATGCCCAAGAGGGGGGCACTCGAACTCCCATTTCGAGCCCTCCGCCCGAAGCGGAGACCCCGGACCCGAGGCCGCCAGCAGGTCCCTATTCAAGAAGCCTCTCGCCCAAAGCTCAGGCACGTGGCGATGTGAGCCGAAGGCCATCGATCAGCAAACAATTGGCCTGGCGACGGACCCATCCCTATGCAGTCACGTGCAGTGCAGGGCGCGACCCTCCCTTCATATATTGATCGCCGCCGGACTGAGCTGATAGCGGGCAGCTGCTAAGCAAGCGTGCACAGGCGCGCTTAACTCCGTGTGTGGCATGATTCGCGTGAATGGGGTGCTGAATAATCCGGGTGCCCTAGCGCGAATTTGCTCACTGAGGCCGCAGGTGCAGCTCTTTGTGGGGCAAGACCTGTGTGAGGCACGATCCAAATCAAATGGGGGGCGCGCCATTCGACGTTGCCCATTGGCACCGTAGGTGGAACTCTTTCCAAGGCACGATTCGTGTGAACACTGTGCCGACATGGGCTGGGGGACGATTGGTAAACCTTGTCTCTGGGGCTGTGGGTGGTGCTCCCTGGGGAGCACGTTCCGCGTGAGGGATGTGCCGCAATGGGCGGGGGGTGGCGCTATTCAAACCTTATCTCTGAGGCCGTCGGTGGAGCTTTCTGTGGTGCACGATCAGTTTGAGAGGTGTGCAGAAGTAGGCGGGGGGGTGGACGGGATGCCAACCTTGTCTCTGAGGCCGTAGTTGGAACTCCCTGCAGGGCACGATCCGTGTGAGAGTTGCTCCGACGTGAGTGGGGCGACTCTACTCAAAGCTTGCCTTTGAGTGCGGTGCAGCACTATCCGCATGAGCGGTGTGCCGCTATGTACTGGGGCCGCAGGTGGATCTCCCTGTGGGGCGCGATCCTTGTGAGGGATGTGCCGAGATGGGCGGCGGGCTGTAGGTGGAGCTCCTTGTGGGCATGATCCGTGTGAAGGATGTGCCGAATAGCCGGAAACACGCGAGTCATATATGTATTGCTATGTGTATGTATATGGTGTGTGTATATATATAATCTACGTAAAAAATTAAGTGCATGCCCAAGATAGCGCGGGTGTTCCCACGTGCTGAGCGTGGTGGGATGGCGTGTGTACCCATCCGTTGATTGATGTGACGCTGGCTTTACATGCGCTAGAATTCAAGCGCGCGCGAAGCGCGCGCGTCGTCATCATGTGCAGGTTATGTATATATCTTGACATGCATGCTGCATATGGGCATCTACTTACATATCTACAAACAAAGTAGCTTGCGCATACGTATATACATTTACACATGTATATATATATGATATGATATTGCTCTCCTATTACTATACAGTTTCGTCGTTTCGTGGCAGGCGTATTATTCGTAGTCTTGTTCTTCATATGAGTCTCCATGTATCATGCACCTTCCGCTTGTGCTCGATGCCGTTTCCCGCATCGTCGTCTTCCTCTTCCTCCTCCTCCTCGTTCTCCTCGTCCTCTATTGTCGCGTTCCTCCTCATCATGTTCGCTGTCATCCTATCCGGCCTCATCTGCCTCCTGCCTCCTCATCGCTCATTTCCCGATTCCTGTTTGTCATTATTCTTCCAGCTCCATTGTCGATCTCTCCATCCAGCCCCTCCTCCTCCTCCTGCTCCTCCTTCTCCTCCTCCTCCTCCTCCTCCTGAGAGAGGTCCTCGCGAGATTCCTTCTCCCCATCCAGATTCCCCGTTCTCATCCTCACCCTTATCCTCCTCCTCATCTTCCCCGGCTCCATTATCATGACCATAATCGCCGTCGTCATCATCAGCATCATCATCATCATCACCATCATCATACGCGTTATCATCATCATCGTCATCATCATCATCATCATCATCATCATCATCATCATCATCATCATCATCAGTATTACCCCAGTGCGACCCTACCTAGAAGTTGGAGCCCCTAGGAAAGCAGCATTAGTTGCTATGATATGCTATGTTATGCTGTGCTATGCCATGCTATGCTGCGCTATGCTATGCTATGCCATGCTATGCTATGCTATGCGATGCTGCGCTATGCCATGCTATGTTATGCTATGCTAAGCTATGCTATGTCATGCTGCGCTGTGCTATGCTAAGCTATGCTATGCTATGCTAAGCTGCGCTATGCTATGCTATGCTATGCTACGCTCTGCTGCGCTGTGCTATGATGTGCTGTGCTGTGCTGCGCTATGATATGCTTTGCTATGCTATGCTATGCTGCGCTATGCTATGCTATGCTGGGCTATGCTATGATATGCTGTGCTGCGCTATGCTACGCTATGCGATGCTATGCTGTGCTCTGCTATGCTAAAGCTCAGCGAAGCTAAGATGAAGGTAAGCTGAGCTAAGATAAATCTGAACTAAGATGAAGCTAAGCTAAGCTCAGATGGAATAAGCTGAGACAAGATGAGATAAGCAACGCTAAGCTAAGGGGACGTAGCTGGGGGAACCGCGGGGCGGATACTGGGAGAACCGCCCGAGGCGCTTTCCACTGCCCGGCCCCTTTAAGCCCAGAGAGTAAGAACCCTTCTTTGCAGACCCTAGGTAGGAAATTGTTAGCATTATCAGTATCATCATCAGCATCATCATCATCAGCATCATCTCAGTCATCATTATCATCATCACCATCATGATCATCACCATCATCATCATCACCATCACGATCATCGCCATCATCAGAGTCATCATCACCATCATCATCATCAGCATCATCACCATCATCATCATCATCATCATCAGCATCATCAGCATCATCATGCCAGCGGCGCAGCCGACCCCGCCGCCGCCCCCAGAGTTGCCTCCATGGTGGGGGACCGACACCCACGACTCTCGCGAGCTGTGGATGGCGGGCAGTCGCCTCTTCTGCATCAAGTGCGGTTACTGGACGCAGAGTGTCAGGATGGCGGGGCTCGCGAAGCCGTGCCCAGATGTCCCGAAGGAGGGACAGGCAGCAGGCGGCGCTGGGGAGGCTGAGCGGGGAGGTCAGCCAGCGGGGAGGGGCAGCACTGGCGACCCTGAACCTCTTCGGCGCCCGCGCAGACGCGTGGACGGCTAGGCCGCTCCCACGCACTTCTTCTGCGTACCTGGAACCAGGTGCGTAGCTTCGCTGACGCACAGGTTCGGATCCGATGCCCTGGGCAATGCAACACGCAGTTCGCAACGAGCGGAATCCGAATCAGGGGTGTAGGTTCGCCGGCACTCGGGATCGGGCTCCGATGCCTACAGCTGTGCAACCAGTCCATCGAGGCCATGAACCTATGGGCCTATGAGACGTGTTGCGAAGCTGTCGGCGAGGTGCATCTGTCGGCCCTGTTGCTGGGACTCGATCGGTTCACGCTTTTCGCGCCACGGGCGCTCTGTGCGGAGACCGAACCAGGTGTGCAGTTTCGCTCACACACGGGATCGGGCTCCGAGGCCAGCGGCAAAGCAACCAATCCCGGTGTTGACCAGGTGCTTATGGGGATGCTGGTGGCGAGGTGCCCACCAGCTGCAGTGTGCATGGCCTCGCTCGATGCACGCTGCTCCTCTCGGCTCTGAGGGCTTCCTTCGGAGACGAGCGCCAATCTGTCTGGCGCGAAGCGCCGCTTCTCATCGCCGTTCTTTGAATGGAGGAACCACGGGTGAAGGCTCGCCCTCATTCCGGCGCGTCGCGCGTCGGCGCGTGATGCTTTGGCCCGCCGCCGTGCTTGAGCGGCAGCCGAATCAGGTGCGTAAGTCCGCCGACGCACGGGCTCGGGCTCCGATGCCCTCGGCAATGCGTCCAGTCCATGGGGCCAGGAGCCAAAGGACGGATTGCGCTGCTGAGGCAAAGGTGCAGTCTCTCGCTCGCCCACTGCGCGCTTCGCGCGCCGTTCCGCTTTAATGCAGCTGCTCTCGCTCTCTGCGACGGCCCAGCCCGCCCGTCTGAACCGATGCGGAGGGCGAACCGTGAGCGTAGGTCTTCCCACGCTCTGGATCTGTCTCCGCTTGCCCGAGGGGCAACTGTGTCTGGCGACCTTGGGCCGTGGACAGGTTGCCTCTGGTGCGGTGTGCAGCCAAGCTGCGCACCAGCCCGCTAGACCGCGCAGCTGGGGCCTGTGCTTGTTGCCGAGCGTGCCGGGTCGTTTCGACTGCTCGGATCTGTCGCCCGCTTGCGTTTCTTGAGGTGGATGGCTGCTCCTGACACTCGAGTGGATCTGTGTGTGCGCCGAGGCGCACGAGACCGAGTGTTGCCTCCGCAGGGCCAAAGGGAAACGCCTCGGTCCGAGGGGCAGTATGGGCAGGGAGTTCCTGTTCCCTTTGGACGCGGGTGTCATCATCATCCCCATCATCATCATCATCATCATCATCATCATCATCATCATCATCATCATCATCATCATCATCATCACCACCATCATCATCATCACCATCATCGTCGTCGTCGTCATCAACAACAACATATTCAGCTGCAGCAGCGGCAGCATCAGCATCAACATCTCTCTTCGCTACCACTCCTTACTCTTCCCCCTCTCCTCCCCTTATCATCACCATCATCATCATATTCATCATGATCATCATCGTCATCGTCATCATCGTCCTCCTCCTCCTCCTCCTCCTCCTCCTCCTCCTCCTCCTCCTCATCCTCTCCCCTTTCAAAACCCCATTTCTCCTGCATCCGCCTCCCCACCCATGTTCCCCGTCCGGGATTGTTATGTTTCCTCTTCCTCAGTCTCCGACCCTCCCCCCCGCTCCTACTCCCCCTCCTTGTCTTTCGCCCCCCTCAATTTACTCGCATATCGGCCTCCTCCTCCCCCTCCTTCTCGTCCGCCTTCCACTGACTTTCTCCCCCTGGCCATCCTCATCCTCTGTCATCCCCGCTCCTCCTCCTCCCTCCTCTTCCTCCTCCTGTTCCTCCCTCCTCCTCCTCTCCTCCTCCTCCTCCTCCTCCTCCTCCTCCTCCTCCTCCTCCTCCTCCTCATCCTCATCCTCATCCTCATCCTCATCCTCATCCTCCTCCTCTGGGCCCCACGCGCCAGGGCCCCATTTCAAAAAATCGCCGTTCGCCGTACGCCGCCGACATCGAGGCGTTCTCATCCCCGCTCGCTTACAAGTCCAGCACGGCCTGTCCGTCAGAGGCCGTGTTTCGTGGGGCTGCGTGATTTGTGGTGCTCCGTCCTCGTGCTCGCCCTGCACTTCCCCTTGTGCTCCGGCACGCCCACGAGGACGTTCATGGCCTGAGAGTGGCTCAATCGCCCCCCCCCGGGCCCCTCTTGCCGCCTCGCGCCTACTCGCGCCCCTCCTCCCGTCGTGCCCTGCGGTCGACACCGATGGGCAGGATGGGCAACCCTCCCGAGGGCAAGCTGGCAGCCTGGCCTCTCCGGTCCATTCTTGACCCCTTTCGATGGCCAGCACCGCTCGACAAACTTCGACACGAGCGTTTACAGGGCTTGCATCCTCATCGCGCATCCTTGCGATCAGGTTTGACAGTGCTGTGCTCAAGTGCGCCCGGCCGCTGCTTGACCGCCGTCTGACTCGCTTGCGGCCGCTGGTGAAATCAGCTGCTTGCTCCTGCCCCGACGGTCAGGAGCAACCGAGCACAACTGGCTCCTGGGATGCCAGTAGGGAACAACAAGTGACATAAACATAAAAACTCGGAGCCCCGCGCGGATTTCTCGGATCGGCGCTGGGGCCCCCCGGCGGCGCCTATTGCGCCGCCCCTGGCGCGCTCCGCGCCTCAGGGAAGGGGGTCCAGCGCCGATCCGAGAAATCCGCGCGGACCTCAGAGTTTTTATGTTTTGTCATTTTTTGTTCCCCTAGAGAAGCAGGCCCCGCAGGATCTCCAGGTCGCGCGCAAGGGCCCGGAGACGAGTCGCGCGTCGCGCCGCGCGGCGAAGCTCTCCACGCGCCGCGCCTCGAGCGGCGTGCGGACTGAGGGTCCCTGGCATCTTGGTCCCGCCAGCTGTGGCTCGGCCTCTGTGGGGACCGCGTTGACTGCTGACTCGGGTGAGACCCTGGCGGCACTGGCATGCAGCCCAGCGCGGCCAGCTATCATGAGTCGTGCTTCGCCGTACCACGCGAGAGGTGTTACTCTCCTTTTTGGGAAACTTCGACAATGCAAGGGGGAGGTCGCCACATCGTCCCTGGAAAACGAGGTTCGCCGAGTAGGCTTTTGGACGAGTCAGGGCGTTTGAAAAATTCTGGTGGTTCGGGGTCCTCATTCTCGAGGATGTGGCGACTTCGCTAGTGGTGCCCCCTTGGCACTACCTGGGGAAAGTTTTGGGTGGTGATTCATTCAGCACCAGCCCACTCCATCGGTGGAGGAGAGGATCACGATCGGCAGGGACAGAAGGGTCCCCCGCCTTGGGATCCACAGCGGGGCGGCTCCACTCCACAGGCGGATGTGGAGCGGGAGTCCAGTATGGTGCATCTTCTGTATTTCTGGCCCCGTTCCTTCGGGCGGTCCCGACCAGATCGACGCTCCGCTCGCCAATGTGCACTTCTGGGGGAAGGGGGGAGGCAGCCTTCCACGTCGGAGCGGGCCGTCGACTGCCTCCGCGGAGGGCGGCCCGAGCGGGAGGTCTGCTGGCTGCCGTGCTCGCAGACCGTGCTCGCCATCGTCACGAACCAGTTCGTGAAGATCTACGACCTCGCGGTCGACCGCATCTGCCCCTGGCGCTACGTGCAGACGCAGCAGGCGTGCGGCCGGAGCCCCCTCCGAAGAGGGCCTCCCGGGACGCCCGCGCGGGAGCGCGATGGTGTTACCCTGACATCCGAAGAGATGGCATTTTCCATGCGCCCTCCCCGTCTCGTGCACCCGAACCCTTCACTGGGGGGCAGCTTGCTTCCCTCCAGGGCAAGTTCTGCTTCTGGTTGACCCAAAAGGGGGTCCAGCTACAAGGGGGTGATGCGATTGATCTGGTGCCATAGATTTGGGCCGTGTTATACATTCCGGGGCGCAGAGGTACTGCTGGATTTTCGAGTGCAAGACATTAGCTGCAACACAATGCAATACAAGTCTCTGGCGCAGTACATTCCCAGACATGCGACGTCTTGATTTTTCTTCAGGACGGTGTCCCTGGAAATCCCTACCCTTTCCCTGGGACCGGTGTTTCGTCCTGAGTCGTTTTTTGACGGTCCCGAGGCCTGGCGAGGACCCCCAGGGGCCGAAACTAGTGGAACGTCTGCTGTCCTGATCTTTTGGCGACGCGATCAGGCCTGGGTTTGTCGTATAGCTGCCCCGAAATCTAGTGCACCATCCCCCTTCAGCTGGGCCCCCGTTTGGGCCGCCCGACAACGGAGGGCCCCGGGGCCCGAGGGCCGGCCAGGCAGGGGCCGCAGGTGGAGGAAGAGCTCGGGGGCGGCAAAGAGGGGGGTGATGTTTATAGGGGGGGGATATCATGGCGTGGGGCATGATATTTCCCCAGATTTCATGGCGCCTCTTCTTTTTTCATTGCGTCCCTGGCCCCCCCGCGGGGCCGCGCACATGCCGCCGGTCATGATTTGCACCCCCCCTCTTGGACACCCCCCTCTTGGCCGCTCCCAAAAAGCACGCCGAGGTTTTGGAAATGTCAGGCCGCCGGAGACCAAGTGATGCCGTCGCGCACGGGCGGCCGGCGACGAGGGCGAGGACGGGGTGATGTGAAGCCAGGCCTGTCCCTCTGGAGGGGAAATACCC